GTCGTTCACTCAGCCAGTGTTCACTGAGCTCCGATGACATGCCAGGCGCCGTTGTAGACTTGGGGTACAGCAGAGACAGGCAAATGAACAAATGCACTTGCTCTCGTAGAGTTTAGAATCTAGTGCCTGAGTAGGAGAATGAAAGGGTAAAGGCCCCGTGGGTTCTTTTCACTCTGGAGCTCGCCATTGTTGTCTTCCTTCTCTGATGATCTCAAGAGGAACCTGGCAATGTTAGGCTGCCTCTCTAAGAACTCACTTTAGGATCCAAAAAGGGCTTAAGCATTGCTGGAGAGAATCTAGCCCCACCATTCAGGCATCTTGTTGATGAGAACAATAATAATGTTACCCAAAATCTGTTGAATATTACTCTTGGCCAAGCAGTGAACTAAATGCTTTCCATATATTAAATCCCAACAACAACCCGACGAGAAGGCCACTATTTTATGATCCTTATTTTATGAATAAGGAAACTGAGTTTGAAGATCTGTAGTCACTTGTCCAGAACCCACGACTGTCTTCAACTCTGAGGTCTGCCCTCCCTCCTTAACCCAAAACATCCCAACTAACTCCAAACTAGAGCAATTCAATCTGCTGACAGACTGGTGTTTTAAACAATAATGAACCTTTCACATGCCCTCTCATTTTGAAGGATTATTAGCCAAACAACAAACTTGACAAACGATGTTGTGGAAAGATATATAGAGAAAGCCTTTCAGCTCTGGAAGAACGCATCATCCCTGAACATCACCAGGGTCTCGCGAGGAGAAGCGGACATTAAGATTGCTTTTTTCCAAGGAGGTAGGCTCAAAGCAGTCATGCTCAATTTCGCTTTCCCTGGCTAAGCTGAGATTCAGCAAATACCTAACACGAACTGTGTTATTTCAGATCATGGTGACAACTCTCCATTTGACGGACCCAATGGAATCCTGGCGCATGCCTTTCAGCCAGGCCCGGGTATTGGAGGCGATGTTCATTTTGATGCAGAAGAAACATGGACCAACACCTCTAAAGGTAAATTGACCAAGGCTGTGTCCACATGCACTTTCTGAATGAACTCTTCCACATTAGAATCCACCCCCCGCCAAAACACACGCACATCCAAGTTACTGTAACATTTTAAACTCACACAAACTGACCGTTTAAAATTCTCACCACCTCAAGACAGTAAATCCATTTAGATTTAGAAAAAAAATCCTGAAACTAAAACCTGACCTTGTTTTCGAGGCAGGAATCAGAAAACAACAGACCATGGCCAAGTCCTTCCTGGCCCTTAGTGTATAAATGAAGTTTTATTGGAACAGGATCACATACTGTCCTGTTTATGTGTCATCTGTGACCCCTTTCACACCACAATGGCAGAGCTGAGCAGGTATCACAGAGACCACGTGGCTCACAAAATCTAAAATATTGACTCTCTCGGACCCTTACAGGAAAAATTTCCTCACTGGGTATATCTTCATTTTAACAGTGTGAAGTTTAATGATATTTGAACAAGATTCCCATTTTTGGAAATTCAGACATAATTGGGTTTATTTAGAAAACCGTCCTATTTAAGAAAGAGCATCCATCTCATGATTCTTGTTCACCTAATTATTTCACCTTCCTTTTCAATGTTACGTTCCCATGTAGCAAACCCCCACCCCCGTTCCAGGAGAAGACTCAGAGCTGGACCACCTGTTGGGGAGAACTGGGTGTAAGGAGGGGTGTGCCCAGACCACGTGGTGCTTCACAAGGCCCCGGACACAGGAGGTCACAGAAAGCTTCTTAGAAAACAATAGGAAAAGAACGTTTTACCTTTGCTTGGGACCTAATCCTCCCACCATTTTCTCAACACATATGTTGTGAGTGTTTGTTCTAGCTCTACCTAAGCCCCTGTGCTAGGCGCTCTGTGTACCCCAGGTAATAAACACTCCCCACTCCTCTGCATTCCTGATCCCTGCCGGGTCAGGTAGTCATTACCTGTTTTTTTAATTGAAGTATAGTCAGTTACAACGTGTCAATTCCTGGTGCACAGCACAATGTCCCAGCCATGTATATATATATATACATATATTCGTTTTCATATTCTTTTTCACTACAAGATACTGAATATAGTTCCCTGTGCTGTACAGAAGAAATTTGAACTAAATGAGCCAGATACCCACCTGGACTCTTGATGGCCAGTCTCTGCTTCCTCTAATTTTTCCCAACACTGCAACGACTTTGGTCTTCAGAAAACCCATCTTTACACTGGGGAAGCTCAGGGTTTCCATTTTCCGGATCAAATAATGTACAAACACCTTCGCTTACCATCACAGGGTCTCGGTGACTCTCCTATCTAATCTTTCATGCCTTGTCTCCATATGTCACACACAGCAGCCACGTTGCACGGTCACTGTCCCTGGGTCACATGGTGTGCTTTCCAACTTTCCTATGTTTGCTCGCCCTGTTTCTTCTTCCTGAAATGCCCTGCCCTGCCCCCTAAGCCCCACCGTTCAAAATCTCCTTCTTTCCGTGCTATGCCAACTGTCACCTCCTTCATGTCTTTCGGCTGGAAATGAGACCTTCCTTTCAGAATGCCTTCACTTCTCCTTCTCTGTCTGCTCTTTTCATTACTCTGTGCATTCAGATTGTTTGCACATGTCTCCCCTTCTAGTCTTTGCATCATGACAAATCCCCCAGAGCCCCTTGCACCATACTCCAGGCACTCAAAGATGTTTTTTAAAGCATTCCTGACTGCAAAAATGGAAGGAAGGGATGATCAAGAAAGCAAATCTTGGGGCATGGGTAGAATATTCCAGGCCAGTTATCAGCAGGAGGTTGCACACTGGTACATGCACAGGTCTCGCCCTCATACCTGGCCCAACCCCAGCTCTACCACTTATTAGCTGCAAGATCAATAGCAAGATATTCAAAATCTGTGGGCTTCGGTTCCCTTACTGTAAAAATATTTCTAACAATACTTTATTAAAATATTAAGATTAAATAATATTACAATTTCCAGCATATGAGAAAGTGCTCTACAACCATGATTATTATTTTTTTTGAGTAAGCAGGTAAGAACATTCACAATGTGCTTGTGAGACAGCATATAGACCAGCTGGAGGGGAGGAGTTATGTCAGAAACCCATCCCTCGAATGTCTGCCAAAGCCACATGGAGCAGCCTTGAACCTGGCAAAGGATCTCAGGCCTTATTTGATAGGAAATGCAAGCCTTGAATGGTTTTAGGTTCCCAGCTGCGAAAGGCAATATGTTCATGGAAGTTAAAAGATAAGGGAAGGGAGCAGTAGGAGGCGGGGTTTGGCTCTCTCTGGTGGAGAATTCCTCCAGCTTCTTGGAGAACGTAGCATCAAGGAGGAGCCGGTGTGAGGCTATGGGCAATTAGGGAGCCACAGAGAGTCATCTCAGCATCTGAGGCTTCTTTTCTAAATACCTCTTCACTGGGATTCTAACGAGGCTGTGGGTCTGGGAGACTGGAGAGAGGTGGGTGTGGGCGCTCAGGGGAGAGGGCTTCCGAGGGACACGAGACCTGTGATGGCTCTGCCATCATTTCTCTAAGCCCAGGTCCATACCCATGAAACATGAGAAGTGGAATAAAGGCAGCTCTTCCTGGTGCTCAGGTTCGATGGGAGGCTCACAGCCACCTAATCTCAGCATATAACTCCTGCAGGATTCCCTCCACTCTTGATTTCTTCAGGCGCCTGGAGAGAAAAGGGATAAGGCAGGAGTGGGAAGGGCTGTTTCTCCAGGCAGTTCTGGCCTGGAAGCTGCATTCCTTGAGATCCTGTTTCCACTACCCTTCAGTCCACTTGGAGCCATTCACCACCCATGTTTCCGTTGCAGATTACAACTTGTATTCTGTTGCGGCCCATGAGTTTGGCCATTCCCTGGGGCTCTCTCACTCCACCGACCCTGGTGCCTTGATGTATCCCATCTACTCTTTCCATGATCCCAGCACCTACGTGCTCCCTCAAGATGACATCAACGGCATTCAGGCCATCTATGGTAAGGTCATCTGAAGAGCAGCAGTCCATGGTGGGACCTGGGCGTGGCAAGGATGCTCAGGGCGGTCTTGTCTGCGGTGACAGAAGTTGGAGGGCAGCTGGGAGTCTATCAGGTGGAGAACCTATGAGTAAAATGTGCTGGATGCGTGCCACAGAGTCCCGTGCAGCGCTGAACTGGAGGTCCGTAGGGCAGCAACGTCGGTAGGTCTTTAAAGTGTTGTGCTTCATGGAAAAGAAACAGAATGATAACATCTTCCACGGTGTATAAATTTCACAGCACAGTTGAAAATACATGTAGACACAACAAGGCATTTTCAAGAAACATGCTAAGAACTATATACATATGTACATACATACATATATGTATAGCACATCTAGATTGTTGTCTGTGGGGGAAAGAGGGAGCATGGAGTACAGAGAGAAGGAAACATTTTTTAAAGACGTGAGTGATGCTTTTCAGGGAGGGATAGAGACCTTTGACCCTGTTTAAGTAATACTGTCTGGGTAAGACCGGCCCATCTCTCCTTCCCCTTGCCCCCCTGCCCCCTGGTGGCTGTGAGTAAGAACAAGAAACTAGACATCTTTGCAGCTCTCTTGATTTTAAAAATAAAAAACAAACAAACAAACAAAAAACTGTTGAATGGAATGGAAGCGGGAGGGGTGGTGTGGAATTGGGTAAAGCATTCTCCCTCTGTGCTGGGACCGCGGTACAGAACCAAACATGCAGACGGTCCCACAGCTACACATTTTTTCATGCAGCAGGATTTTTCAGGAATGATGAGACCCACTCTAACTGCCTCTCCTACCCAACCAACACCTCTTCCCCTGAAAACACCTCCTTGCCTCGCTCATCCATGTTTTAAATTCTCTGAACTGTTCGCCGCCTTTATTCTGCAATGAGAAAACACATTAAAATGCATAAATACTTATAGAAAAAATGTTGCTAAAATTAGATTTCTGCTGTGGGGCAAAAGACTGAGCTCAGCTCCTTTCCTGAAGGTGGATTTTAGTGAGAAAGGAAGAAGTGGATCCTGAGTGACTGAAAATGCAGAAAGAGAGACGAGGAAGGGAAGAAGCAAGTGTAGGGTGCTGATTTCAGACTAAGGGAGGGGAGAGGGGAGAACTCAAATTTCTTCGCAACTTAACCGGGAACTGTCCCTAAAACCACCATTCCTCTTTTTTTTTTTTAATTAAAAAAACTGTTAAGAAGCCCTAAGGTACTCGTGGGATAGTCTGGTAGGATTTCTTTTCACGTGAAGTCCCGTCGCCGACCTGAGAGGTATCTGAAGTACATTATAAAAGTCACACTGGACTTACGCTTATGAAAAGCCTTTGTATTTGCAGGACCTGCAGACAGCCCCGTCCAACCCACTGGGCCAACCACACCCACAGCCTGTGACCCCAGACTGACGTTCGATGCTGTCACCACCCTCCGAGGGGAAATACTGTTCTTTAAAGACAAGTATGAGGATGAACTGTTCCTTCCTTTGACTTCTTTGACTGGCACAACTTAAAACCAGATTCTAATTGTCACATACTATACATTATTATATAGTGTTCCCTTTGACTTCTATGCCTCTGTATCGCATTAGAATTGAAGAACTTTCTAGGTCACTCAAAACATCCAGGAAAAGACAAAAACCTCAAACATCGATAAGCATTTCAATGTTTGTGGTGGTGTGACTAGACATGGGCTCTGCCACTTGGGAACTTTACAGGGGGTTTCCCCAACACCACAGTCACATTCAATTCCATCCAGACACGGCCAAGTAAATGGAAACTCTTACTTAATCAGCTGCGGGGAAAACCATCTGACTGACTGAGTTTTTCAGTTTTCCATCAGCTACCCTGTGACTGGGTAATCGCAGGCTGATGGTACTCCTATTGCTTTTGCTACAATGCCCTAAATATTCTCACCATACTGTAGCAACAATGATGAAAGAGACTAACAAGATAAGACTTGTCAGGGTGTGAGGGGGGACAGTGCAGAATGTAACCAAAGAAGGTCGCTCCTATCCCCTCCTCTAAAAACTGTGAAGTGCTCACCAGGTGGACAGGATCGCCATAAAGCGCTGGCCACATGCTGGTCCCCGTGCTGGAAGCACTGCGTTCATGTTATCTCAGACCCTCGCAGCAGTCTCACAGGGCCGCCGCCAGCCCAAGACTCCCCGAAGCTGCCTGCTCAGATGGCGGTGCATGGTTTTCTCCATTGTGTCGCACCAGGTACTTCTGGAGGAAGCATCCTCAGGTACGAAGAGTTGAACTCAATTTCATTTCCCTCTTCTGGCCGACCCTGCCAGATGGCATCCAGGCTGCTTATGAGGATTTTTACAGGGACGTAGTTATCGTATTTAAAGGTAACCACCTAAAGTTTTCATTTTATTTTAGTTCTTCCCAAAGGGAGGGGCAGGACTTTTTTGGGTCCCTTCTAGGCTGAAGGAGATGGGTCAACGAGAGGGTGTAATGCGGGCTGGGCTTTTGTCAGAAGATGTGGGTTGGGGCCCATCTCCAATGACCAACTGCTGTGTGAACTTGAGAAGGTTGGACCCTCTAAGGGCTTAGTTTTCTCATCTACAAAATGAGAAGACCTTCTTAGATCACCTTTAGTGTTCTTCTGCCCTCATCCCAGACATAATTTTCTAAGATTCCCCAAGGCTGTAATTTAATCTCTGTATAGAAGTCACATGAGATAAGACATCCAACTGTGGGGCCCTACATGTCAGGCCAAGAAGTTTGAAATATTTCACGGGAGCTGGGGAACCACTTGGGCTATCAGAGTCCAATGAACTTAACTTTACCACCTGTATCTTTTAAAGACTTTTTTTTTCCATTTTCATTTCTATGATGATTTTATGCAAAGACTAAGAAGTGGTATATATTTTGTAGGAATGGAAAACCTTTATCTAACATGTAACCTGAATCATTGGCAGGCAAGCAGTACTGGGCTCTGAGTGGGTATGACATCCAGCAAGGTTATCCCAAGGACATACTAAACTATGGCTTCCCGAGCAGCGTCCACGCAATTGACGCAGCTGCTTCCTACAGGAGGAAAACATATTTCTTTGTAAACAACCAATTCTGGAGGTAAGGAAAATTATTTTTTTTTCATTTAGAGATTGAAATCTATATTTCTTTACCCCATCTGCAAACCGTCAATGATCAGTCATCTGAAGGTTTACAATATCTAAGTGCTCTTTGACAGACATTTTTTCTCGGAAGATGATTGATGTTCCTATGGCTTTTGAAAGGTTCATTCTCATAAGGTTAAGATGCTTGCGCAATGGTATGGAGGATTCTATATCATGAGACAGAGCAAACTCTAATAAAAAAGTGGGATATGAAGAAAGATTAGGCTAAATCTCATTTATTCTAATGAGAGCTAAATTCTAAGAGTTAAATTCTACCACACATAAGCAAATATTGTCCAGACAGCCTACAGAACTTGATGCCCACATTGAACTTATTATCTATATTTATTCAGAGAGAGAGAGATGATGAACCAATTAAATAAAAGCCTTAGAACATATAGGCTCTTCTTTTTGAAATTAACACAGCACTAGCAATCTGTCTTAGAATTAGTGGTACCCATACATTTTATAAATAAGTATGCAACCTTAGGTAAAGGAGTTAATCATTCTTAGTCCCAGTAAAAAGGACATTGTGAAGAATGAATGGGAAAATGTGAAGGCACTTTGTAAATTATGATGCAATTTTTTAAAAAAACCCATTATCTGAAACATTATCCTGTACACCAGAAATTGACACAACATTGTAAACTGACTACACTACGGTTAAGAAAGAAAGAAAGAAAGAAAGAAAGAAAGAAAGAAAGAAAGAAAGAAAGAAAGAGAAAAAGAAAGAAAGAAAAAGAAAAAGAAAGAAAGGAAGAAAGGAAGAAAAGGAAGGAAGGAAGGAAGGAAGGAAGGAAAGAAAGAAAGAAAGAAAGAAAGAAAGAAAGAAAGAAAGAAAGAAAGAAAGAAAGAAAGAAAGAAAGAAAGAAAACTGTTATTATTATACACTGTATTGGCCTTAAAACACAGGATAATTTTTTTTTCTCATCAGATATGATGACCAAAGACAATCCATGGATCCAGGTTATCCCAAAAGCATAGCAAGTACCTTTCAAGGAATAGGAAGTCGAGTTGATGCAGTTTTCCAGCGGGATGGTAAGTGAAAAAGAAAACCAAACCAAAAAAAAAGAAAAAAAACTACTAATAAATTTGTTTCAATTTTCTAACTAGCTCATTTGCATTCAAAAGCTATATTGGGACCGTAGTGGGATCTTTTTAATTGAAAACATCCAAGATCTTCTACAAACTAATTCAATATATTATATCTTTTCTTTAATAGATGTCTTCTTTTTCTTCAGTGGACCAATATATTATGCATTTGATCTTAGATATCAGAGGATTACTAAAGTTGAAAGAAACAGTCGATGGCTTAACTGTAGATACGGTTGAAGGAAGAACAAATGTGTTCGTAACCACTTTCTGAATGTGGGAGAGAAGTCTAATTTGCCTGTCCATTGTGTTGTGTCCTGTTTATGTCTTTCTCGACAATAAATAATGTCGTTTGCTGTCACTGTATTCGCTGGACCTGTCCTCAGTGAAAATACGCTTGGAGGATTCCACTGACTGCTGAGGCTGCCTTTGTTCTCACATAGTCCGTCTCAGGTTAGTGAATCCATCGCAAGGAGGAGATTAAGCCTTCTTTGTCCTCCTAATATTCACCACTTCACTACTCACTTACCTGACTTCTAAAATGCTCATTTATTCTCCGGTCTTTTAAATGTATCTCAAGTATACCTGCTGCATGTAATTTAGCACTGGATTTTGTCGAGAAGGATTATGAGCAACTTTGGAAAGAAATATCATGGCTACGTGTTGTGGGTTGAATCGTGTCCTCCCCGCCAAAAACAGATACGCTGAAGTCCTGACCACAGGTAGCTACGAATGTACCTTATTTGGAACTAGAGTCTTTGCAGAGGTAATTAGTTAAGATGAGGTTGTATTGGATTAGGGTGGGCCTAAGAACTGATGATCCTGTAAGAAGAGGGGAGACACAGGCAAGCAGTGGAGAGGCCATGTGAAGACAGAGACACACACGGGTACAAGGCATCTCCCTGCCAAGGATTGCCGGCAACTACCAGAAGCTGGGAAGAGGCAGGGAAGGATCCTTCCTAAAGCCTTGAGACAGAAGAACATCACCCTCCCGCACCTTGATTTTCAATTTGTAGCTTCCAGATTGTGATAAAATAAATTTCTGCTGTTTTAAACTACCAAGTTTGTGATAACGTCGTTACAACACCCCTGGGGAGCTGAGACAGTACATCTGCACCTAAGAAAATGAATCAATGCAGAATGACAGATTGAAATCCCAGTAAAGGTCACTGGCATCTTCCCAGGGATGCAGCAGAAAAGATGGGTTCTGCTTCCTCTCCTGCCTCGCTGTGGCTTCTAGAATCCAAACAAATTGGCTAGTTAGAGCTGTTGTCCCTTACTTCTTTTCCCCTGGAATCCTCAATAGGACACCCTCTACAGATAACCGGGCTTTGCTGCACAAACAGGACAGTGCTGAGCACAAAATTCAAAATCTCATTTAATTGAATTAAACTGAGCTTAGATGCACAAATTTGCTAATGACTCTTTTCTGTTAAGAACTTTAAGATAAATAAGTTTATACTGTACACCACAGGGAAATATATTCAATATCTTGTGGTAGCTCACAGTGAAAAAGAATATGAAAATAAATATATGTATATTCGTGTCTGATTGAAGAATTGTGCTGCACACGAGAAATTGATGCAACATTGTAAACTGACTATAACTCAATAAAAAAAGAACTTTATGACTTGTTGGAGCATAATGGCTAGTCCAGATATCACAACGTTTGTAATGTCATATTTGCAGTTGCTAGAATGTAGCGCACCTTATTACACATTAAACAGGTGAATCATAAAATATTTTTTTCACTGGCACATCTTATTTTCTTTTTCTGCTAAAGCTTTCAAACCCCACAGATAATTAATTTAGTATTAGTTGATACTTCATTCTGGTTCAAAAATTATCAAATGAGTTCAAAATAAACATTTTAAATGCCTGACTTGTGATCTACTATAATTTCTTAAGATACTACCATCAAATAGTTCATTCAAAATATAAAAAAGATAACAAATTTTGATATATTTGCAGCCATTTTTCCCTTATCAGAAATACCATAACATTAATATTAAACTTTTAGATATTGCTTCACAGGTTTATGAAATTTTGTAAATATTCAGTGTCCTCAAAAAGTCCCTCAAATATGTCAATAAATTATTCTCCACTTACTTTACAAGATAAGAAAACAGAGCCTAGTATATACTATAATTTCATTTATTCATTCATTTATCCAACAATTAATCCCCTACATGTTCCAGACATTGTGTCCAGGAAAGTGAGAGACATAGATGAGCAATACTTTGTCTCAGTGTCAAAGGGTGAAAGGATTTGCAAGAACTGGATATTTTCATATTTTCAGAGCCAATTCCAGGCTATGGCATTTTCTAAAACTTCTTATGAAATCAGTTTTTACAGGCATGGAGATGGGAGGGTTCATCTCAGAACACCCGGTAGTCGTGCCAATTAGATCTGATAGATTCTTGGCTCCATCCATACAGTTTTGAGATAAGAATTGAGTTTATGGTCTTTCTTCAACCACATTTCACAGTCACAGGAGGTGAACAGGAGGCCCAATATGAAGTATGAAAAAGAATTTTTAACTTTGTTCTCTTCATTCGGTCTTCTGCCTGACAGTGTGCGGCATTTTCTGGATGTTAACATTGAAGTTTTATGTGAGTACAAGAGACATAAGGATCTAAGCATAAAACTTGAGGAATGAGATCACTTTTATCTTAGGTTACGTTTCTACAAAACCAAAGACTAAGACAGGACCTTGGTGCAGTTACTTTATTCAGGACATGATCCCAGAAAGAAAGAATGAGGCAGCAAGCAGAGCGAAACAGAGGAGGGAAAGCCAACACGGGTATGTGTTTAGGTTTCTGCTATGGGCAGCTGATGCTTAATTCCACCAGAACCCCCTGAGAAGCTTACAGAACGCCTTCAATTGTTCAAATCTCCCGTGGATCAGAGGCTTGACCATTTATCCTTCAGTTCCCTCCCTACTGGGCAGCTCTAAGGCACTGATTTGTCATTTCCACGACAGCTCAGTGACCTGGGCAGAATGCAGAAAGACCCCCAGTCTGTGCTTAAGGTTAGACTTGGTCAGAGCCAGGTGCGTTGCACAAACCTGTCCACCACCCTGCGACTAAACTCAGAGGTGTCCTGAGGGGATTGTGATTCAGGGCATCAGAGCATCTCTCACATCTTGTTGCTAGGAAACTAAAATGATGGGAAATTGAAGGTGTCTTCTCTAGAGAAACTTACCCAGGAAAAAAGATTTACAGATGCCAACACTATAGGAATCTCAGTGTGACAGAGGCTGCTAGTTACCTGGGTTAACACAATTCTCCCCTTCCTTTGCTGCAGTAAGATCCCAATTTCATTTGAGGTGGCGATACATGCAGTTAAAAGACATTTTGTGGCCTCGCTTACAGCTAGATGCGACCATGTGTTTGATTTCTTGACAAAAAGTGTAAGCAGAATATTGTATGGGCTTCTGGAAAGAGATTGGGAATTGACTTTCTCTGCCTTCCTCCGTTCTGCTGCCTGTAATGCAGATACGATTGCAGGAGCTAGAGAAGCCACCTGGACCATGACGTGTTGGCACTGAGAGTGGCGGAGCAAGATGTCTGTCTGTGGCCTACATTGCTGATGGTGTGGGTTGTCATACAAACGCTTTGGGCTGCCAAATCTGGACTCCTCTTCTGTGAAGGAGAAATAAATGTTCATTAATCATCTGTGATTTGGGGGTTTTCTGTCTTGTTCGACCAAATCTCATTTCAACTAATAAATCACATGAAATGTCTGGGACCCACCCCACCTCTGTGCAGTAAAGGTCACACACAGCTTCCTGTCAGCTGTCTTGTCTCTCATCCTGAAACAGATTGCAGAGCACAAAGTCTCTAAACATTTTTTTAAAAGTTTCTAATGACAAAAACAGACAGTAAAAAGGAAACTTTGAAGAGATAAGAGACAATCCTGGGAGCAAAAGAGAAAGTCCAAAAAATGAAGAAACACTAGACATTCTTTAAAAACGAGACATATCTTACACCCAAAAACACTAACAAAATACAAAAAAAGTTAAAAAAACATAAATAAAAGGATACTCAGAACTAGAAAGAGTTCTTGGAAATTAAAAATATAAGCGTAAAACAAAGTTTAAAAAAAAAAAGAACATAAATACAAAGCAGAAACAGACTCAGACATAGAATACAAAGTTGTGGTTGCCAAGGGGGCAGTGGGGTGGGAGGGACAGATTGGGAGTTCAAAATTTGTAGATACTGACAGGCACATGTAGAACAGAGAAACAAGATTATACTGTGTAGCACAGGGAAATATATACAAGATCTTGCAGTAGCTCACAGCGAAAAAAATGTGACAATGAATACATGTATGTTGATGTATAACTGAAAAATTGACACACTGGAATTTGACACAACATAGTAAAATGACTATAACTCAATAAAAAAAAGTTTTAAAAAAAGGAAAAAATATACAAGTGAAATGAGAAACTCAATAGGTGAGCTGGAAAGTAAAGTTGATGGGAAATAGTAAAGGATATATTGGAAGCATAGGGATTCAACCCAAGAGTTCCAACAGGTATGTATGCCAGAGAGAAAGAGGGAACTGGGTATAAAGACATTTTCAAACAAGTAATAAAGGAAAGTTTCCTTGAATTGACATTTTCATGATGAAAGAGCCCACTTTCGGCCCAGCAATGTTAATGTGAAAGGATTCACAGCAGGAGATATTTTTATAAAATTTCAGAATATTTCGGTAAAGAGACTTCCACAAGTTTTTCTGAAGGAAATAAATACCAAGAATCAGAATAAAAGATTTTTCCAACGACACTAAATTCTAGAAAGCAATGGAATGGTAGCTTCAAAATTTTAAGGAGGATGTGTTTCAGCCTGAAATTCTACATCCAGACACATTCAGTCAGATGTGAGGATGGAATAAAGGGCATTCTACGCATGAAAAGATTCCAGACACGCCTTTCCCTTGCTCCCTTTCTTAGACCTTCCATCCCCACTTCCCATGGCCGTCTACACGTGTATCTCTCCCTCCCACCAGGCCAGGTGTCCTACCGTCCATCTCCACCATGGTACCTGCTTCCTGTGGCCTCCCTCCACTCAGATGCCTTCTCTTTTCCACTGTGAGATCAGAATCCTACCCATTCTTCGAGCCCCAGTGCAGTGCAAGCCCCACCTGCTGGAAGACTCTAGACCACACCCATCAGCAGTGATCTCTCTACCTGCTGGTCCTTCTCAGTCTCTAGCATTTTCCACATGCATTTTGCTGCTTGCCTCTGTGTTATCTGGCATTAGTCCCTGTATGTGCCTGAATTTCTCAACTACATTGGAATAACAGCTTTTTCATGCTTGCATTTACAGTGACAGGCAATAGTAGGTGTCACTAAATGTCTGATGTTTACTTGGGGTAATTAGTTAATTAGGATCTGATTCCTGACTCAATTGATTTTTTTTTTTAAGAAACAGACACGGCTTGTTTATTACAAGGAAGGAGGCGTTCCACAGAACACTGCTTCTCAGCATCTGCATCAAGGGCAGGACAGCAGATGAAACTGTATTCCTGAGAAGCAGCAAAAAATTAGAACTTTGCAAACAAATATAACAGGTGACTTCAACAGAAGATACATTTTCTTACACATAATATTATCTTTTTACACAGATATTTTGGGCTTCCTTTCAAAAGAAAATGTTTTCATAGACTGTCAAGAATTTATGGATAGGAAAACCTCCAATTTTGCAAGGACAAAAGTAATTTGGGGGCTGACCTCATGCTATTTTCAATTCAATAATGAAAAATGACTGTGTTTACCAGACAACTGCCGATCATGATTGTGAAATCAAGTCAGCCTAATAAAAGAAAGCATACCATGACACAGTTCATGGCAAACATCCTTTTCTGTTTTTAATTAAAGGATAATACAAGCCAATTCATGCCACGTCTCACTGTTATTTTCTCAATCCTATGCAAACAGAACAAGGCTTCAACGGAAGAGAAAGAGGAATGAAGAGACTTCTTCTATTTTTGGTCTTTATAACATTTTCTTCTGCATTTCCTACAGACCGAAAGATGGAAAATGAGGAAACCACGCAACTGGCTCAGGTACTGTCTCAATAAATGTTATTAATGATGGTCAATACAAATTCCACTTTATTGATTGTCTTGGGACCTAAAATGACAGCAAGTTCTCACCAGAGAGTCCTGAACTTTCTTGTGAGGGGAGTTGCTTTTCCTTCCCTTGGTTCCAAGGACGTCAAGGAACTGCGAGGGGGTGGAGAGTGGGGACGGGGGGAAGGCAGGGTTTGCTACAACTTTAAGCGATGGTTACAAGCGAAGAGGAAAGGAGAAAGGGGACAGCCCTGCCCCCAGAAAGCTCTAGAAAAGCATTTGAAGACCAACCAGGGGGACCCAACTTCAGTTTGGAGCCCTTCATCCCTATATGTGTGAAAAACACATGGCTTTTAGGTTCCCTCTAAAAATCCGCCCAGTTAATTGGCCGTATTTGGGGAAGTTATTTAAATTTGCAAAATGAATAATCACGTCTCTCTTAGAATTTGTTTCAAGGAAACATCAAAATGAAAGTAACAGCAAAAAATATGCAAGACTGGGGAGGGTAGAGCTCAGCGGTAGAACTGGGTTCAATCCCCAGCACCTCCAGTGAAATTAACAAACCTAATTATCTAGCCCTTCACCCCGAAAAAGCTGGAATAAATCTACAACTTGATTTAAAAAAAAATATGTAAGACACATGATCATTTCACATACAGAAGAAGCCTGCTTGTCCTCTGTGGAGGTTTGGAGTCTTAAGAGACTGGGTCATGCAGACAGTTCTGGTCACACGTTGCTCAGCCAGCTCTTGCAAATTGAAAAAACAGGGTGACTTTTCTTTCATCTTTGCCTCCTTTCTTCTCTCTTCCCTTGCTCCTTCCTTCCCCCTGTTATTTCCGTTTTCCCTACGACTGCCAAATAGATTTCAGACAATTCCATTTTATCCTAGGATGGAGATTTGCTCCCGTGTAGTCTTTCTTTCTTTCTTTCTTTCTTTTTTTCTTTTTTTTTTTGTCTTTTCGGTCAGGCGTATCTCAACCAGTTCTACTCTCTTGAAATAGAAGGGAGTCAGCTTGTTCAAAGCAAGAACAGGAGTCTCATAGACGGCAAAATTCGTGAAATGCAAGCATTTTTTGGGTTGGCAGTGACTGGCAGACTGGACTCAAACACTCTTGAGGTCATGAGGACACCCAGGTGCGGGGTGCCTGACGTGGGGCAGTACGGCTATACTCTCCCCGGATGGAAGAAACACAATCTCACATACAGGTAACGCTTCTGCCCACTGACTTCCCCTAATCTGCATGAACATGAACATGACCGCCAAGGAACAAAAATAGTCATAGTGTATTTTACTGAGCCCTGCCTGTGTGCATGGCACCTGATAGATTTTCATTCCATCTTCCCTGCAAACTCATGACGTAGGCACCACTGTCACTACCACCTTATGCACAGAGAAACGGAAACAAAAGCTTATTTACCAGAGTCTGGGTTACACAGCGCTTCCCAGCAGACTGGCTCTGGCCGGTGTGCTCGCATCTCTAGCCTCTGCCACCTCCATAAAAGCTCAGGACCAGAAGCACTGCCATCTAAATGCAGACACTTAAAGATATAAATGAAGTGTGCCCAAGTGCAAAGAGAGGAGAGGGTATAGCTCAGTGGTAAAGTGTGTGCTTGGCATGCACGAGGTCCTGAGTTCAGTCCCCAGTGTCTCAATTAAAGAAATAAATAAATAAAACTAATTACTACCCTCCTCCAAAATTCTTTACAAATTAAAAAAGAGGAAATGGGAAGACCCGAGAGCGTAACCAGTTCATGTTAGAGATGTGGGTGAGTTGGACTGTCAGATCTCAGACGGACCTCAGACTGAAGTGTGGAGTTCGGCCCGAGACATTCCAAGGAAAGGGGGCTGGCTTCACTGGCAGAAAGAGGAGGAAGTGTGCCATGATCTGAGATAAAGACAGTGACCTTGAACACTGCTCTCGAGCCCTCCTGGCTGGCCCTAAAGAGTCCTTCTGACAGTTCTTCCTTTATCTTATTAACTCTCAGGGATTGAGCTAAAAATGGGTTCATCAAGGGAGGGAAATAAAAAACCAAAGGAAGACCTTCTCCTAAGTAACAAACTCTTTGTGGCTTTCAAGTGAGACTCTCAATATTTGATGCATAAGACTGATTTCCACAAGCCATTTGAGAAAAGAAACCTCAATGTCACAGCAACTACAGATATGAGATTAACGCTCTCCCACGTAGGAGGTGATCTTAGAGAAGGCATTTAACCTCTCTGAGCCTTATTTGTTAAATGTGATAGTTCTACCTGAATAATAGGGCGGGTGAGAGATTGGATTATATAGCACGCGTAAAAGTGCTTTATTTAAATACTAAAGTATTGTACAAAAGTAAGACTAGCATCAAACCAAAAGTTACCGCAGCATATGATTGATAAGATAGAATGACTTCCTTTTCGTAGTTTCTGTGTTTACACACATGCGCCAACACCGACTGACAAAGTTCTGTTAATTTTTAAGAATCGTAAACTACACTCCAGACTTGGCTCGAGCTGACGTGGAGGAGGCTATCCGGAAAGGTTTAGACGTGTGGAGCAAAGTGACTCCACTAACGTTCACCAAGATCCCCAAGGGGACCGCAGACATCATGATCGCCTTCAGGACCCGAGGTGAGGCTTTCAACAGAGAGACAGGTACGGCTGTGTTCATCTCAGCAGCTCTGAAGGGACTGACCTTGCTCCCCCCTCCTGAATTGTATCTCAGTTCACGGTCGGTGTCCTCGCTATTTTGATGGCCCCCTGGGAGTCCTCGGTCATGCCTTTCCTCCTGGTCTGGGTCTGGGTGGAGACACTCACTTTGATGAGGATGAAAACTGGACCAAGGATGGACCAGGTGAGCCCAGTTTCTTTATGAACAAAATTGTGTTACTCATACAAACCCCTAAAAGGAATAGCTTTGCAATTGGTTGCCTTTTTACTCCCCAGTTTCCCTACAGTTTTTCATGCTCCAGATGACACTGATGAAAGTGTGCGATGTACAGGTCGGGGCCTTATCCACACAACATTTTCATCCAGTTGCTAATCCTGTTAGGATCATACCACTCTTCCCTTGCTCATCCACTCATTCATACACCTACAATGGGGGGGGTACAGCTTAGTGGTAGAGCGCATGCTTAGCATGCACGAGGTCTTGGATTCAATCCTCAGTACCTCCACTAAAATAAATAAATAAACAGAATTACTCCCTCAAAATTAAAATAAAGACTAAATCATCGCCCTACAGTGCCCGAAAGGCCACCATGTGCCTGGAACTACACAGGGTGTGGTACAGACCACAGAGCTGTCCTAGAAAAGTTTCAGCCCTTCAGAGCCTTGTCGTCTTGTGTGGTGTGTAAGGCTTCGATCCAGTTGCCACCATGCAAGGTAGAATGTGCTTTGTGTTGTACCAGTGACAGAAGCCATCTCTGGCCTGAAGACAGGGAGGTGCAGTTCTGAGTTAGTGACTGGAGGATGCAGTGTGGGTTCATGGCCATAGGAGGTCTATTGATACACATGAACTTCCTCTTCTAACGCTCACCCATCTGCCAAGGAATTAGACCCTCATCTTTATATTTGACCTATTCCTTCAGACCAAGTGGGTTGATTTTATTTCTCTTAATGGGCCTCCTCCCTGGCACTAAAAGAAGAGATATGTTATTACTTTTCAAGCAAAACCCAAAACTCTACTACAATAAAAATACGTGCATCCCAGGAAGGAGCAGGTTCAGTAGACTCCTGGGTTCTCACCACTGTTTGTTTTTTTTTCTATCCTTGACAACAGCCATCTTGGGTCAGATATCTGGTTTCCAGGGTCCCAGGAAAGCGGAGGCTCTGACAGCTGGAAGGTGGTAGCCAAGCCCCCAGTTCAGTCCTGATCAAGTAGCTCCAGATGGCCTTTGGGTCAGCTTTATAACTTGTGCAAAACTGAAAGCCTGTAGCTTAAATGATCCATGACCTCTCCTTGCTAAATCTGAGCGTGGGATGCAGTTATTCCTGCAAGGGCTAGGGGACCTAGTGCTGGCAGCAGCGGAAGTCTGGGACTGGTTGCTGTCACTGCCACATGAGTTAACATCGCAGACAAGGAAATGAAAAAGGAAGTGGACCCTGTCTGTATCTCCTGCTGAGACATGTCCCAGCATTTCTCTGGATTTGGCCCCAGTGCAGTGTGGATGTGTTCAGTCAGGCAGTTGGGAACCATCCTGGTGCTCACCGAAGTTGGAATCACTCCTCTTGCTCAGCCAGGTTTTACTTTAATATCTCGAGACAGAGATTAGTCTAAGATTTTACTGTCCTTTTATCCCTACGAAATCCAATACTTGGTAATAATTACTATTACTCACACTGCAACAGGCCCCCTGCCAAAGGGGGTGTGTGGGGTAGATCATTAAAAAGTCCAAAGAGTTCCGGACCACAAGTTGGCAAAACTTCCGCGAGCAAGGCAGAGGATAAACATAGCTCCCCACCGAGTTCTGGCAAGAGTACCAGACTGGGTTGTCTCCTAACTGCTTTATTATGTTCCCTCAGGGTTGAAACTGTTGGTCCCAGGGAACACCCAATCATGTAACTCTTAGCTCACTGACATAAAAGGGAAAACGTCTTCCTGCTCTTTCATAAAATCATAAAACCTCAGGCAAACAATCTCCACTCAAACTGGGATTCTTTAAGTAGAAAATTTGTCAATAATATATAATATACAATCAACTTCTTTTATGGATTGCCTCTGTCTGGGCACAAAAGTCTTAGTGTAACTTGCTTAAGAGCAATAGACAATAGTCATCTGCTCTTCGCACTGCTTCCTAAGGGGAGGACAGTCACTGCATGGTGATGTCAGAGGGGACTGAGCACATGGAGAGATTTTCCTGAGACTCTCCCAGTGCGAGGCCAGCGTCAAGCCTGAATGTAAGGTCAATGTTCTACACACACGTGCACTGAACAGAAACAGTCCTCACAGATCGCTACAGACGCAGTGAGGGATGGGGAGGAGCAAGGGTCTGCGGCTTGGCAGGTGTTAGTTTCTTTCGGGGTTTCTCATTTACTGTCTGGAGGACCCTCAGCAAGCTAATTTAATTTTCTTACTCTCTGTTTCTTTGTAAAGTAAGGATGATAATGGCCCTCTTGTAGGAAGATGACACAAGTTACCTACAATAAAGGCGAAAGTATCTTGCGAAACACTTGCCCTTAGCAAACAATCAGAAAGGGTTTGACATTGACGATTATGTTGGTGATTATTAATATTGGTCATGATGATGATTAGAATGATTTCCAAGAACAGGAAAAAATATTCACAAAGGTACAGATGTCTAATGTACACATTTATTTAGTCACATCTTCAAGAAGGGAGCGATGTTATCTTTTCCCTGCAGTATTGTATGGCCTGTAATGTTGTCAGTACACGAGAGATGTTCTAAAAATATTTGGTAAGTGAAGTCATTCAGCCATCGTTTACTCAACATCTGCTCTGACCCAAGCTCTGTGATAGAAATGGAACATACAATAGTATAAAGACATGAACCCTGCCCTTCAGGGGTTTACAGTCTAGGGGGCACACACTATCAAATGGCAATTAAAATTAGTGTGATTGACACTGTGATAAAGGGAACCATGGCCATGTAATAGGAGCATGTAAAAGAAATTCCCAGCCAAATGGAGAGGTCGGAGAGGAGGTGATGTCAAACCTGAGACCCGAAGGCTCTGCAGAAGCTCTGGTGGCACAGTGGAACAAAGAGAATTCTGGACAGAATAACCCGACCAATTCAAAGATCAGAACCATGGTGGAAGAGAAGGCTAAAATGATGAATAGGATTCAGGTTATAGAGGGTCTGGAAAGCCAGGATAAAAATTTGGACTTCATTTAGATGACCTGAGTTTGAATTTTTTTTAAAAGAGTCACTTGTCCCATCCCTGTCCAAAAGCACATCCAGTGATATTGTCAACCAGACAAGGGACAGCAGCAAAAGCCAGAGCAAGAAAGCATAAAAGTCCATGAAATAATTCTTTGCCATTCCATGTTTGTTTTGTGCAAACGTTACTGGGCAAGGCTCCATCATGAAAGGCTCAGCCTCTTCCATAGGGTCCATAGACTTAGTTGCAGGTCCAAGGAAAGTTTTTTATATACTTAGGACCTATGGGAGAGACAGGGAAGTAAAAAGGCAGTTCCAGCCATGCATGGCAAGACTTCTGGCATGAGTAAGTTCAGGGTACCACGGTCTTATACAGGAGGCATATCTGATGATTCCTTCATCCGAATAAACCCCTGGATATCCAGCAACCATTATTAAACATCCAGTATCGATGAACAGTTTGGCAGTCACCAGGAATAAAAATGACTAAGGTATGGTCCCTGCACTGAAAGGGTGCACAGCTCAGTGAAGGAGATCAACAGTGCAGTCCTTCCGTGGCAAGGCAGAGGTGAGCACTGAGTCTACAGAAGCCCAGAGAGATGCATCAAGAAGCCTTGATAGGAGCTGGGGAGGGAAGCCTCACGAAGGAGATGACTCTAGAGGGGATTCCTGAGGAGCAAGGAGGATGTCTATGCAGGAGCAGGGTGAGAGAGAGACGATACTCTGGGAAGAAGGGATGGAGACAGTAGGACACGGGAATAAGAAAGACCACAGCTAGATGAGAAATGCAAATGGTGTAACACGGCTGGCTCTTGAAACACGAAAATGAAATATGAGGCTGGATAAAACACAGAACTGGATGATGGAGGGCCACGTTAAGGCATTTGGACTTTATCCTACAGCCAGTGGGGAAACTCTGAAGAATATAAACAGGAGAAACATGATCACATACAACAGCCTAACAACAACCAAATACTGGTGGCCTCTATTTTTTTTTTTTACCACTACATTTCTGAGAAACCTGTTTACTGCCTTGTTCTGGGTTGTATTTCTCCGTGATGTGACTAACACTCATTGTGAGAGCGGAAATACTTCCCAGATAAATGGTTGTGCATATGTTATAAGAATTACCTGCCATTTGGCAAGCCTTTTCTTCTTTCCCCTTACTTCCTTCCTAATCTCAGATGCAATCATTTGCCTTCTGATTGACTAATGTACTCATGTTTTCCCTGTTTTTGTTAAGGATTCAACTTATTTCTTGTGGCTGCTCATGAATTTGGTCATTCCCTGGGGCTCTCTCACTCCAATGATCAAACAGCTTTGATGTTCCCAAATTATGTCTCCCTGGATCCTAGCAAATACCCACTTTCTCAGGACGATATCAGTGGAATCCAGTCCATCTATGGTGAGCAATGTCATAAATCTGAACATACATGAACTGAAGAGAAAGCTTTTCAGGAAGGACGTTGAGAAAAATCACCTCTTGAAATATTATCATGAAGAAAATCTTGTCTTGGGTAAGAGCCTTCTGAAGGTGTTTCCACATGCCTTCTTCATTCACTGTGGTATTTCTTTTCTCATCAAAGGAGGTCCACCTAAGGCAACTGCTAAGCCACAGGGACCCACCGTACCCCATGCCTGTGACCCGGATTTGACTTTTGACGCTGTCACCACTTTCCGCAGAGAAGTAATGTTCTTTAAAGGCAGGTAAACGCATTTCCTTAAAACCTCAACTTCCTGTGAAGATGTTTTCCTTTCAAGAGATTTGGGAATAAGAAAGTCATGAGGATAAGGAGTCTGTGGTTTTATTTTTCGTTCTCTAACTGCCCATGCTGTTTGCATGTCTTACTCTGTGCACATATCTCTTGTTTGAGAAATTAATTTTTTAAATGTTTTTAAGCAAAATTTAAATTGCTATTGAAGCAGAGTCTGCTTTCAGTGAATTCTTAGCTAAAATAAGACACCAGTCCTGGTGACGTGCTGGCACTGACTTACACCATCTCAAGATCCAACTGTTAAATTTTCAAGAACTTTGTCTACCAGTCCATATCACTTTGGTAGCTTGAAACTGACCATGGTTGGAGTATTGACACCCTGGAAATCAGTGAATGATAAAATTAGATCTTTTTTCTACCTGGAGAACCAGCTGTTAAATTTGCATCAACAGACTGTTCCTTAATGTTGCATCCACTGAGTGTCACCCGTGGAAGGAAACCTCTTCTCTCACTATGTATGATTTACTGGACTTGACTTGCAGTGTGGTGTGTCGTTATGGATACCATGACCATGTTCTCAGGACAAAGTATCAGGACAGGCACCATCTGACAAGGATGTAGGGGCAAAAGGAAAGAATATTTGGAATCAGACTCCTTCCACTCACAACTATACTGCACTGTAATGACGTGCTGTCCCTACCATGCTCCCAACAGCGGAGGCCCAGAGGCCACTTGTCAGGGATGGGCTGTCAGCAAGGGAAGGAAAATGGACTTATAAGGACGTTTCAAGTCCTGTTCATAGACTGAGAACTTTACAGCCAGAAAGGAAACGTGAGGAAATATTATGCCATGCCAATAATAACATTTCTTCATTCTAGCAAACATCGGCACCAGAAGTTCCTCTTAGAATGCTTGGTGTTGGCTTAGAATGTTGGGTGTTGTTGCTTTGGCAAAAGTGAGGCCATTGAGCATGTTGAGAACTACTTTTGAGATTTCCATGGGTAGCTCGCTACTCTAAGTACCCAAAAGAGTGGGCACAAAAGCATGTCCTGTCCTTGAAAGACCAAAGGGTAGAACTGAACTCAAAATCGCCTACATTTGCTCAGGAAAATTGTGTTAATGCTCTAAATTGTTTGAGGAAAATACCAACCAGAAAGATGAGGCAAGTTGAAGTTTGTGATGTTTTCATCAAAATAGACGCAGATAGGTCGTATGTAAAGTATGGTTTTTTGTTTGTTTGTTTTGTTTTGTTTTTGTCTAAAACAGGCACGTATGGAGGATCTATTATGATATCACTGACATTGAATTTGAATTAATCTCTTCATTCTGGCCATCGCTGCCAGCTGACATTCAAGCTGCATATGAAAACCCCAAAGACAAGATTCTGGTTTTTAAAGGTAACTTTGCCCTTCATGATTCTCTGGACACCTGAAATGGTCAGTGGGTATTTTCATGCAGGGAATATAATCTTCATGTATGAGCCAAACAGACAGGGCTTCTGACTTGACCTTAGGCTCATATCATAAAGAATAACTGTGTGGTTGTGAAGATAAATGCCATCCCAGTTGCACAGGAGCTAACAGAAATCTATACAACAAAGACTAAAAAGTCTCTTTTCTGCCCAGTAAAGGTAAAACCCATTGCTCCTCTATATTCCCTTTTTACTAGGGTTGCTAGACTTGGCAAATATACAAGATAAACAGCCGATAATTTTTAGTCTAAGTATGTCCGTTGTATTATTTTAGATATACTTGTACCAAAAATTAGTCATTGTTTATTTGAAATGCAGACTTAATTGATGTCTTACAGTCAATCTAGCAACTCTACTTTCTGTATGGATTTCATCAGCTTGCTTGCCTTTGAGAATACTTGGGTGCTGAAATTTAGAACATGTCCAGATATACTTGACTGTTTTGTCACTTAGAAAAACAGTCAATACAATGAACCCCGTGGACATGGGTATGCACACTATTGACTATAGATGTATGTCATTTGTGTAGTATTAATGATACAAGCAGCTAAAGAAAGTTTAAGAATAAATGGAGACATAATATTACTAAATATTTAAGCTCTGAACCTAAGAGGAACCAGGTATCTAATTATTTTCAAGCTTCTTGAAGGCATCCATTTTTCCCTCCAGAAAATAGACCAGAAGATAGTCACTTTCTCTCTTCCTAGATGACAACTTCTGGATGATCAGAGGGTATGCTGTCTTGCCAGATTACCCCAAATCCATCCATACACTTGGCTTTCCAAGACATGTGAAGAAGATTGATGCAGCTGTCTGCGACCACAGCACAAGAAAAACCTACTTCTTTGTGGACATTTGGTGCTGGAGGTAAGTTTACAGACAATTGACCCTTTGTTTTATTCTGGAGAAAAATATCCACATAGCATCACTTTAATACAGGCAAAAAAATAACTAGTCTTCTTAAGTGAATTATGTTGAAGGCAATCTTAAGTGGATATCATTCACCAAACAAAAGAGTTTTCAGTCAGTTCAAAGATCTTTTTCCAACTTCAAAAAAAGAGACAAAAATAATAAAGCTGGTGTTGCCAACCAGACTGCTGATGCAAAACATAACCAGTCGAAATCTTTGAAACCCCATGCTGAGCCCTTACTCTGATTTAAAAGTTCTTCAGAATAGCATCAATCTGACAAATGAAGACTTTTTTCCAGCTCTTATTTCTTGTTTTCAAGACACTAAGAATGATTTCACCAAACCAGTCTTTGTCATATTTTTTTATTATTGATCCAACTAGTTTTCTTCCAGTAAGACTACTTTTTTTTCTATATCCCTGCTTGATTCCAAGTTGGGTAGTAGAAAAATTAAGTTCCCCAAAACAAAGATCTCCTAAAAACGTTCAAATCCATGTCTCCAGGTATGATGAAGTGAGCCAAACCATGGACAGAGGGTACCCACAGAGGTTGGTAACATACTTCCCAAGAATTGGTCTCCGAGTCGATGCTGCTTTCCAGCATAAAGGTAAGCCTCAACGCCTGACGGTTAGGGTCCTTGGAAGCTTTACTGACTGTGAAAGAAGGCAGCACAAAAACTGAGATGTCTCCATTTTAATGCCGTGTGACTAGTCTTGAGTGCATTTAATCATAAACTTTGATCTGCGGGCATTGTCACAAACTGAATAGTCAGTCCTGAATTATACTCTTTGTTAATACTATTTCAAATTTATGCGAAAGGTACCCAAATTGGTTATCACTGATTAAAGATACCCACTAAAAGATACCCCCCGAAAGAGTTTGGAGTGTGAAAAAAATCACTAAGTACATGAACCGAACAGTGATTCTCAAACCATAATGTACATAGTTTAATATGCACAACTTGGGGTGTGTGTAGGAAACTGTGAATTCTTTAGAACTTCTGAGGCAGCAGGATGGTGGGTAAGACCCAGGGTCTACAGTTTCAAAGGAACCTCGGGCAATTTAACCTATCAGTCCAGCTACTATATCTTCAAAGACAATAAATCAGACCATGGAGTAAGCAGGAGTCTAAAAATGTTTTTGAGTGACACAATCTTTCATTCTATTGAAATCTAACATGGAACCTCAAAACCTGAAACAGATAAAACAGAGTAACACTAGGAAAATGAGGCTACAGGGCTCAAGACTATACTCACAGAGGCCCCCTTCTCCCCATCACTGAGACATTTTTTGAACCCTAGTTTGAGAACCTCTGGCATAAACCACAGTCCGACCAGAAAGGTGGTAAGCCCCTTGAAATTCATATTTCATACCTTGGCTTTTTCCTTAGGGAAATGAAAATAATATTTCTCATGTGATGGGTAAAATAAAATGTATCTTTATAATTACGCATTTCTCTCCATATAATGTTCAATTATTTTAGTCTACATTTATAAAATTCAAGTGTAGAAGCATCGTAGAGTTGTGCAAGATAACTAATCATGATTCTCTTTCTCTAGGATTCTTCTATTTCTTCCGTAGAGCAAAACAATTTGAATACGACCCTAAAGCGAAGACCATTACCCGAATGATGAAAACCAACACTTGGTTTCGATGTGGAGAACCATTTAATTCATCATCTGATTTTAGTACCAGTGAGGGAAAAGTACATTCAGGAGGGGTGGAACTGGTTTATTACAAGAATTTAAACTTGCTTATTTTCAGTATTGTTTATGTGCTGAAAAAATAGACAGTTATCAATAAATTCTTAGGCCTGAAATAAACCTCCAGAGGTCCTTTAATCTAAACTCTGTTTCAAAGTGGAATAAAACCGTCCTTTAACTTTAAGTTGCCAGTCCTAGTTCTAAATATCTACTAGACAAAGAGTTAACAGCTGTTCTGAGCTGCCTGATTCTATTTACAGGAAGTTATGTGTAAACAAAACGCTCACTGTACTTTACATATATTTTATGCTTTGTAGACTTGAAGAAGTAAACCATGTGTATTACAATAACTAAATACTGAAGACATTTATTAAACCAATCTTTTGAATTCTATTTTGTCTGGACCTTTGGAGCTGGAGAGACCCAATAAACTGCATCCTTCATTCCCATCCATGTTCTGAACCCACTGAGAAATAACATACAGTTGGAAAAGCAAAATTCCACCCTCATTACTGATAAAGCTTATATTGGAGAACATATCTGTGGGCAAGACTCCTAATATCAAATTCTAGAGTGAGACATTCTTACTCACAAGTCATGGGGAGAACTGGAAACACCAGACCTCTCTGTAAATGTGAGCTGCCTAAAGACAACATGGAGCCCAAAGAGAAAGAAATGAGGATGGAGCTACACGTGCCCAGTTTCTGTTCCCAGATTCACTGATCAATAAGTTATTCTTCCTCCCAAAGAGACGAGTGAGAGCTTAGAGAGATGTGGGAAGTGTTACACTAAAGGTCATCCCCCAACAATTAAGATACTAGCAGAAGTGGTAAAGTAGTGTTCCCTCCAACTTCCCAAGCATAGTCCAATGCATTGAACCATTCCTTACAGAGTTTAAAATCAAGTTTTGTGCACACTGATCTCATGTACAAGAAATGTGGAGATTTCCTACCTATGTTTGAGGATATGGGTCACCTGAGCCTAAATTTTTAGGTAGAAAGTTCCTGTCCTCTTTGTTATACTACATTATCTGTTGAGTTTCTAAATTCTTATTGTTTGGTTTTGCCTTTCACCCTAAAGCTAAATGCTGAGCAAAGAGCCACATAAATTTTCTGACCCAGAAGTTGGCAAATTGTCAGCTGAATCGGGTGAGATGATAGATTGGGTAGGTGTCAATTGATAGAAAGTAAGCATAGAAAATCTCAGGAATTCTACAGCTAGTCTGCCAACTAACACATCTTCCCTTAAGTTTGGTATTATCAGATTCCTAAAGGAAGGGTATAGAGAAGAGTTATTGCATGTTTGAAACTGAAAGTAAAATTTAAGAACTACAGCTTAATACCTCGCATGTAGTTGATAGTAGGTTAATCTGCAAAAATTACTGCTGGAATAATCAAATATCCATACCATAAAAATAATAATAATAATAACCTCAACTCTTACCTCACATTTATCACAAAAATTAACTCAAAATGGGCCATAGATCTCTAAATAAAAGAACTAGAAGTATAAATCTTCTAGAAGAAAAAACTTTTTAAAATTTTGTGGCCTTGGATTAAGCAAAGATTTTTAGACAGGACATAAAAAGAATGAATCATAAAAGGAAAACTTAACAAATTAAACTTCATCAACATTTAAAACCTTTGCTTTTCAAAGAAACAATATTAAAAGGATTAAAAGTCAAGCCTCACATTTGGAGAAGATATTTTCAAAACATATGTCTGATAAAGGACTTGTATCAGATACATGTTTTGAAAATATTAATATAAATTATAACATAAATACAGAATATATAAAGAATTCTGATAACTCAAAAATAGGATAAACAGCTCAAAATTTTAAATGGCCATAATATTTGCTGTATGGTACATAAACACATGAAAAGATATTCAACAGCTTAATCATTAAGGAAATGCTAATTAAAACCACAATGAGATACCACTACATACCCACCAAAGTGGTTAAAATTTAAAAGACTGAAAACACCAAATGTTGACAAAATGCAGATTAACTGAAACTCCCTCAAAGTGCTGGTGAGAATGAAAAGTGATACAGCCATTTTGGAAAACAGTTTGGCTGTTTTTTGTAAAGTTAAACATACACTTACCATGTGACCCAATGATCCCACTCCTAAATGTTCATCCAAGAAAAATGAAAACATGCTCCCATAATTGATTGTGCATAAATGCTCTTGATTATTTAGATAGCTAAAACCTGGAAACAACCCAAATGTCGATCATTGGTGAATGGATAAACAAACAGGTGGTGGAAAGCTACTCAGCAATAAAAAGAACAAATGAACAATATGGATGAATCTTACAAGCATTAAGGTAAATGAAAGAAGACAGACACAAAAGACCACATATCTTATGATTCCAAATACATGAAGAATTAGAAAAGGCCAAACTATAATGATAGGAAACAGATTGCTCGTTGCCAGGGACTGGGAGGAAAGGCTTGACTATGAAGGAGCCTGTGGGATGGAGATGTTCTATATCATGATTATGGTGGTGTTGACACTACTGTACACTACTATACTTTTTAAGACTGGACACTTAAAATTAGTGAATTTTGTTATACGCTAGTTCTACTTCAACACCACTTGTTAGAAAAAGTAGTATGGCTTAGTACCTAACACGTAGTAGATTCTCAAATGTTGGTCAAGCTTGTTTTGTGTCCTTGCAACAAATTCTCAGTTCTGAGGTATGAGTACCTATGATATTGTATTTCGGAAAGCATCTGAAATTGCACTCAGACTGGCTTAGGGGCAGATACTTTCTCCTTGATTTTCAAGAAAAAAAAATAGATACAACCATAACAATAATCCCCCTTTGAACCCAGTGGAATATCTAAAAACACAGTCTTCCAAAGACTCTAGGTTGACTATTAGAGGTATATTGAAGATTTATAAGTATAACACAGAGGTCAGGTGATATCACCCACTCATCCTTTGAAATTTAAGTAAACTTGACTTTGAAAATCCTATGGTGTTTTCTAAGGCTCTCCACCAAGTGATTGGGGGGAAACATTTTTATTCTTAATGTCCTTTATCCAGCCCACTCCCCAGTCATCTCCACCATCACTTCTCCCCCAGACTCCAGCCTCTGGCTCCTCTGTCTGACCCCCTCCCAGCATTTCCCTCCAAGAGGACCCCAAGTTCCTCCTTATTTAATTTTTTTCTTTTCAAACATAAATTGGTTAAGCTATAACTTTGTCTCATGTCTCTTGAACATGCCATTAGGGCCTCCCTTTTCTTGGAAAAGCAGCTTATGTTTTCCCCTAGAGAAGAGTACCAAAATACACTTTCACTTTGCTTCGTAAGGAAGACATTTTGGGCACAGGAGCCAGGCTGCTTAGTCTTGTGGCCCACTTTCTCCATTTAGCAGCTGTGGGACCTTGGGCAAGTTATTGACCTCTCTGTGCCCCAGTTTCTCCCTTTGTGAAATGAAGATAGTTAGAGATCCAGGCTCAGAGAACTGTTCAGTGTCTGGACAACTGGTCACGTACAGAATGTAGAATCAGCACTTGAGGCAGAGCAAGTGTTTGACGAGTCATCATTATTATAATTAGATAAGTTAAACAATTTATTCAAAGTAAGTTAAACAATTTATCCAAAAGTACAGACCGTTGGAAAAAGTAGAAGCCTGCCGTGCCATCCTCTTACTGAGAACAAGTTAACTAGAATGACAAACTTTGTTCCAGTTTGTCATGTTCTATCCGGTTTTCTCAAGGACCTGTGATTGGGTCCTGAAAGAAAGAAACAGCTTTAAAAACAAGCATGAACAAGACCAGGTTGACAAGTAGTTATTCATTTTGGAGATTTGAGCAGCTGAGACGAAACAGAAAAGAAATTCACATACAGAGAATATACTGAATTTCTTCCTACCTGGAGACAAGGAAAGAAACTCATCGTAACCTTTCTATTATTCATCATGGACAGACCCTCCTGAGACTCACCTGAATGAATCATTTGTCCCAAAGTAAAACAGGATGATTTGCTGTTTTTTTCCCGGGGTATTTTTTGGGTTTGGGGCTTGAAGTTATTTTGAATACATGATGTATCTTTAGGCTGAAATTCAGCCCCTTGTTTGTCTTCAGGTACAGAGAATGTTAAAAAGGAAGACCAGTACTTAAAAAATATCCCTAACATCCTTAAATTGGTCACAAATTATAAATTTTGGGTCTACATTCACTTACTACCTCATACCACTATCGAGCCAAAGTCTCCACAGAGAAATGAAAATTGAGCTATTCCTAATATGAATCACTTAGAATTAGAATTTGATCTCTAGGAACATTGAGAAAATATGAACAAGATAGTCAACAATGAATTTAAGGCCTCCCTGCAGTGGTTAAGTCTCCAGAACAGAGAAGTGTTTCTGCCTGACTACTATGTATTGTTTCAGGAAGTATTTACTGCTTAATTGACCATAAAATGAGATTTGATTTTGACCATGAGATCTAATTAATTAACTATTTTTGTCCATTTTCCCCCCTGAATTTTAGTGTTCAATTTTGTTAGTAATAAGTAAAAGCATTTATTTTCAAAGTTGTTTCATTTCTCCAACAAACTGAGTTCGGAGTTTCGGGTTTCCTGAACTATTGTTAAAATTTAGAAGCAAAAAGAATCAAATAAGAAGTATCTCCACTGGTCAAATTCATGAAGATGAAATGGAAATTGAATGAGTCTAAAGCTTCAGGAAATATGATGCTAGGGATTCGAAGGAATCACATGCAAAAATGTGTCATAAATTATAAGATTCTTTGAATGCAATCTTCTCAGCAATCTTGTGTTAGCAAATCTGTTCAGATGGATTTAAACTAAGACGGTACCTTGTTATTTTTCACATAACACTTACCTTGGTGTTACCATTGTTAATTAGCCTCACTTATTCAATATATGTTTATTTAATTCCTGCTATTTGTCAGATGCACTGTCTCTTGAGGCATATTCTTTCATTCAACAAATATTCATTGAATGCCAATTCCACTCAGCCATAAAAAAAGCATGAAATTTTGCCCTTTTTAGCAACATGGATGACCTAGAGGGTATTATGCTAAGTGAAATAAGTCAGACAGAGAAAGACAAATGCTGTATGATTTCACTTATATGTGGGGTCTAAAAAATACAGCAAAATAATGAACACAACAAAAAAGAAACAGACTTAGACAGATATGGAGAACAAACTAGTGGTTAACAGTGGAGAGAGGGAAAGGGGGAGGGGATTGAGCAGTACAAACTATTATGTGTAAAATAAGCTACACGAATATGTTGTACTGCACATGGAATATGACCAATATTTTATAGTAACTGTAAATGGAGTATAACCTTTGCTAATTGTGAGCC